TCTTTAAGAACAGTCTTTACCACCTACGTCTTTTAGCCAGAGTTAAAACATTTTTAAGCCATCATGACCTTGAAAAAGCTATTCATGCTTTTATTAGTTCTAGACTCAACTACTGCAATGCACTGTATATTGGCGTCTCCCAGTCTGTTCTTAGCCACCTTCAACTTGTGCAAAATGCAGCTGCCCACCTTTTAACTAACACTAACAGACGAGAGCACATTAGTATGAGAGGCCCTTTGAGACATAATTCATACTGTAACATCATACTCTTATACATACACCACTATACTCTTACACAAACACTACTATACCCTCTTACATGCACAATCATACTCTTATACATACACCATTATACTCTTACACAAACACTACTATACCCTCTTACATGAACAATCATACTCTTATACATACATCAATATAGTCTTACACAAACACTACTATACTCTCTTATATTTATCATCATGTTTTCTTTTATTTACTGTCATACTCTTAGTGTAACCGAGGATAATATTATGTGTATGTAAGTATGATAATATGTACATGAAAGTAACAGTATATGTAAAACAAAGCTCTAATATATGTATGAGAGAATAATATTATATTTGAAACAGAATAGCATTATGTAAGAGAAATAAGTTGTACATGTGAATGCAAATAATCATGTGTAGGGAACAAAATGACAGTGAATGTAAGACAGAATGATAGGGTATGTGAATGAGAATAGTTGTTTGTGTGAGAGAGTTTGATTGAAACGGAAGGGAGTTTGATTGAAACGGAAATAGTACTGAATTCTCAATTCCTGATTGGTTATTTTTGATGAAGCGGGAAGAAGGCCCGCCTTCCCAATCATAATATGAAAAGATGGCGGACATTGAGCGACTCAGTGAAGCTGTTGGCCTCTGACTGTCCATACAGGCCGCTGAGCAGAGCGGAGCGCCCGCGGAGGCTCGCGCACTGCAGCGCTTCAGTTCGGCGTCTGGTCTATTTTTCATGCGAGCCGCGAGCGCTTCTGTCAAGCTGGATAGAGCGGATCGTACCAAACAGGAAGTTGGAAACAAAAGACGAGAGAATCCGGCCAATTTTCAAAATAAAATAACAAAAGCACGCAGAAAATAAATGCCGTGTTTGTAATTTAAAATAACACAACAATGCAAACACATTTTTCAATACCCTAATCACTTCATTACAATTTTAATTTTGTGTCACCAAGCCTACAGCCATAAATAAAATGGTCAGAACAATATGCCCTATTCATTCAGTGTGTGGACAGGCAAGGGCGCCGATTGAAAACTGCCTCAGCTGCTGGGCGCAGTGCTTCGGTTCCGCGTCCGGTGTATCCAGGCCGTGAAGCGCTGCAGTGCGCGAGCCTCCGCGGGCGCTCCGCTCTACTCAGCGGCCTGTGTGGACGGTCAGAGGCCAGCAGCTTCACTGAATCTCCCAAGGTCTGCCATCTTGTCATATTATGATTGGGAAGGCGGGCCTTCTTCTCGCTTCATCAAAAATAACCAATCAGGAACTGAGAATTCAGTACTATTTCCCTTTCAATCAAACTCCCTTCCGTTTCAATCAAACTCTCTCACACAAACAACTATTCTCATTCACATACCCTATCATTCTGTCTTACATTCACTGTCATTTTGTTCCTTATACATGATTATTAGCATTCACATGTACAACTAATGTCTCTTACATATGCTATTATTCTGTTTCAAATATATTATTATTCTCTCATACATATATTATAACTTTGTTTTACATATACTGTTACTGTTACTGTTTACTATCATACTTACATACATATAATATTATCCTCGGTTACACTAAGAGTATGACAGTAAATAAAAGAAAACATGATGCTAAATATAAGAGAGTATAGTAGTGTTTGTGTAAGAGTATAGTGGTGTATGTATAAGAGTATGATTGTGCATGTAAGAGGGTATAGTAGTGTTTGTGTGAGAGTATAGTGGTGTATGTATAAGAGTATGATTGTGCATATAAGAGGGTATAGTAGTGTTTGTGTAAGAGTATAGTGGTGTATGTATAAGAGTATGATTGTGCATGTAAGAGGGTATAGTAGTGTTTGTGTAAGAGTATAGTGGTGTTTGTATAAGAGTATGATTGTGCATGTAAGAGGGTATAGTAGTGTTTGTGTAAGAGTATAGAGGTGTATGTATGAGAGTATGATGTTACATGTGAAACCAAGTATGAATTATGTCTCAAAGGGCCTCTCATACATTAGTCCTGTCCTTTATTCCCTCCACTGGCTCCCAGTTCGTTTTAGAATTGATTTCAAACTTTTAATGTTTGTTTTTAAAGCTCTTAATGGCCTTGCCCCATCTTATTTATCTGAGATGCTAACTGTCCATGAGCGTGGCAGGGCTCTGAGGTCCTCTAACCAACTCTTGTTGGAGGAGCCCAGGTCTAAATACAAACACTGGGGTGACCGAGCTTTTTCTGTTGCCGCACCCAGGCTCTGGAATAAACTCCCCACTGACATATATCTTGCCTCTGACCTGTGCCTCTTCAAATCTAAACTGAAAACTTATTTATTTAGGATGGCTTTTAATACTCAGTAGTGTGGTGACACTCCTAGTTTATTTTATTTTATTGTTTTATCCTTTTATTTGTTGTTTTTTATTCATGAATCTGTTGTGTGTTGTGTTTTTAATTGTTTTTTAATCTCTTGTGAAGCACTTTGATTCACCTGTGGTCATTGTAAAGTGCTATATAAATAAAGTACATTACATTACATTATGTAAAAAAACAACCGAGCATACAATCCTTTAAAAAATAGACCTCCCACAGACGACCACAGGAGATCATTGTCTGCATGATATAGACCTAAAATAAGAACTATAATAGAGCATTCATTCTTTTTGCAGCAGAAAGCTAAGGCTTTTGTCTTCCTCATCATCACATACGTTGGAATTTTCCTAGGAATTCCCCCGTAATGGCTGCAGGTGGTCATTGTTTGCATAATCCTGTATATATACATTTTTTAAAATAAAAACCACAATAGCTACAACATTCATTCTTTTTGCAGCATCTGTCCCCCATGTCACCATGTTGTAAACTTGTAATGATGTCACTGCACTATGTTACGTGTGGTGCAAAACCACATGAAAACACGTGCTGGCGGCGGAGGAATGAATGAATGATGAATCTATCAAAACACCTTTTCACTCTGCTCATAAAAATGAGCATATCTCAGAAACTAAATAATGTACAAATTTCAACTAACTTGTAAACTGTTAAGAGATATAGTATGGTTATGTTTCTACATCTCAAAATCTTTTGGATCAATATGTTTGGTGTGTTAAAGTTATAGTGCGTAACTTCTCGCCAGTCGCCACACACCGTGTACACAGAGTAAAACTCACTTCACACCGTGTACACAATGCTACACAACGTGGCGAACACCAGGCTGCTAACATTACATAACATTCATAGCACCATTTCCAAAAAAAAATAAAAAAGTACTAGGTCCAGTACATGTAACACTACATGTACATGTACATGTAAGTCACTTACTTATCCAACAGCAGCAAGGCAACATCCGTGTCTGCCCTCAGCCCAATTTCTTCCTTCAGGGCTCTCCACCGAGGAAAAGCGACTCCAATACAAATCCTTGTTTGCCTTCTCCGTCGGTCACTTTCCTTCTTTGCTAATAGACCTTGAGCCGAACGTCCAGGCTTTTTCTTTGTGGTAGGATCCACTTCTGAACCGTGTCTCGGCCGCTTCTCCGCCATGTTGCTTTCTCTTTCTACCTGCGCTCTACCTCTTGCTATGACACTTTCTGCTCTTCCTCCCCCTCCCTTCTTGTTGTGAGGAAGCATTTCCTTTGCGCCAGCGCAGGAATGTCGTAGGTCGACACGCAAACTAAAAATGATATATATTGAAAAATACAGCGAGATGTTAGAGGAGCCGATCGGCTTAATCAGTATTGTGTCATCTCCCCTAGTAGTGGCTTGGGTGAAAAGGACATTTACAGACCTGTAGAAGTTATGCACTATAGCTTTAATTTTGTAAAAATCTAATGAAAAACTTCAAATTGTTGTATTTTTTTAATGACACAATTTCAGTACTTTAATCAGTTATTATGGTTTATTGACTCACATAACCTATTAGCTTAGGTTGTACAGATTTTAGGGATATGAAGCATTTGAAGATACTCCAATAAATGACATTCCAATAAGCAAAAATACCCATTCAGACACAGGTAGAACATCTCAGGTTTAACCTGTTTTAATCAAAGTCAACAGGTTTTATGATTTTTCTAGAAAAAATTAGTTATTTCTAAGAAGTTCTTGAGGCAAGTTTCTATCAGATAATAATAATAATAATAATAATAATAATAATAATAATAATAATAATAATGAACCACACAGACAGATTGTTTCACTTATTTTAGGACCAGAAGAATAGAATTCTTTGCAGTGTTATAGAGTGACAGGGAAGAGAGGGAAAAGAAAAGATAAAAGGAGAAATGTTGAAAGGAGAGGGTGAAAAAGGAGTGAGAGAGAGCAGGGAAGAGAGTCAGAAGAAGGTGGAGGAGAAGAGGGATGGAAAAGTGAAAGATTGTGAGGATGAAGAGTAGAGGAAGAAGGGAGAGGAGGAGGGGAAAGTGAAAAAGGTTGTAAGACAAAAGAGTGAAAGTAAAAGAAGCAGATCTGTCAGATCTTGTGATTACTGAAGAGTCTCATTTGTCTTGTTTTTTCTTCAGTCTTTGGTCTAGTCCAGACGTCATTTAAAGCTTTAGCTTACCTGCAGACAGTCAGCTCATTATGCCGCCTCCTTTCTTCTCTCTGTGCTCTAATAAGATGAGCATGATTAGAAGGCACTAATGGTGTTTGTGAAGGCAGCAGAGTGCCGTTGAATTATTGGGGGGGGTCTGAGGCATCAACGCCCACGACAGCTTTTAACTGTGGATCTTTCATGAATGTCTTAATGCTTGAAGCGTTCATAATAAGAGATTCATTAAAGCTGTGTCTGTGCTGCAGGACTGAGCCGTGGGGAGGCCGACACCAGGGACTGTTTGTACTACAATGTCAACTTTGAGATCGAGAAGACTAATCAGAGCGGAGTGGAGCGCTGCGAGGGCGAGAAGGACAAACGCTCGCACTGCTACGCCTCCTGGAGGAACAACTCAGGCTCGATCGAGCTGGTGAAGAAAGGCTGCTGGCTGGACGACTTCAACTGCTACGACCGGTACAAACATGCACAGTTAATACAACAGCACAAACATACACAGCTAATACACTTTAGACAGGATTCTTTGCAAGAATTGTTGGTTACTCTCTGTACAACATTTGAAGTTAACCATAGATCATAGTCTGGCATCTGGTTGCTACCTTATGATAAAGTCCCCACCACACCTGTGCACTGTGCTCATAATTGGCCCGAACACAGCGAAATAAGAAGAAAATAATACACTCCAGGCAGAGGGCAGTGTCTGCAGATAAATACACTGCCACACACTGAGAGTGGGTCAGTATATCTCTATATCTTTTAAAGCAGCTACAAGGAACTTTCATTTTGTATCGATTTTGGCACTGCTTATTGACAGAAGCGGAGGTGTTTCCATGAACGCCAGCACCTTGTGTTGTAAAAATCTTGATCAGGCTAACACATGCATTTGTTTTGGAAGTAAATGAAAGAAATGACGTATTTTTAATTTTAATCTTTTAAACACAACTGTTTGCAGGATGCACAGAGACAAGGTCATGTCTGTGGCCCCTCCAGTAGAACAATGCACCATGCCACACTGCAAAAACTGTTCAGGAAGGACCCGAGGAACGTGACAAAGAGGTCAAGGCATTGGCCTGGCCTCAAAATTACCCAAATCCCAATCTGATTGATTCATGGCACATGCTGCTATCCCACAGGTACCTACAATCCCGGTGAGCCTCCTTGGATCAGACTTGGCTATGACCTGTTGAGGCATGGACACAGGACCTCTGGGGGTGTCCTGTGGTGTCTTGCACCAGATCAGGGTCTTGGTGGCAGATCCTTTGAGTTCTGTGGGTTGTGAGGTGGAGTACCAGCACGTCTCAGATCACATCCTCGATCAGATTGGGATATGGGGAATTTTGAGGTGTCTCACTCATGAGACGCGTTCGCAGACACTCAGGAAAACCAGCACTTAACTTAACATTTCACTAACACTCAGAAATATCAGTACTTCACTGCAAAAACTCAAAATCTTACCAAGAATATTTGTCTTATTTCTAGTCAAAATGTCTCATTTCTAGTCAAAACAAATCTCATTACACTTAAAATAAGACTCATCCCTGAAAAAAGTAACTTGTTTTTAGACAATTTTCACTTGTTTCAAGCAAATTTTCACTTGGAATAAGTAGAAAAAAAAAACACTTTTTATTTGCTTGAAACAAGTGAAAACATGTTAGAGATGTATTTAAGCTCTTATTACTGTACTGCTATACTGTAATATCACACTGAAACCACGTTTACTGTGTGTTCACAGTATAGGCGCAAACATACTCGGGCAGAACGTACGCAGAGCGGACTCCGCGGAGGCCCGCCTGGACTAAAGGCGGACGTCCGCAAGCCCTGGGCGTGCGAAACTCAGATTTTACAACCGCACGGACTCCGCTCCGCGCACCAGTGTCACACAAAAGACTGCTTGGCATGTATTTTTCACATCAACCTCCAATAAATGTGACACCGATCTGCATTTTGTATTTGCTGCCAGTGTTTATGTTCGTCAAGACTTCACATATCCCTCACCAACATGGCAAACTCCCCTTCCTGGTCTCTTGTGGCATTTAGTGGCCGTACATACCACCGTCTCTTCGGTTTATTTGCTTGCAGAGCCAGCAGGCAGAGCAGCTCCTCTTCCTCGTTGTCAGTGTAGGACGCCATGACAGAAGAGTGTAAACAATGCGCAAGAATTGTGGGTAATGTAGTGTTTCACAGACATTTTTTACAGGAAAACACAACACGGAAGTGCGATCAACTATGGAAGCCCGAATGACTGCAGACATTCCTTGCGGAGTCCGCTCCGCTTATAGTACGCCGGAGTCTGTGAGCACCTTAATTCAGCACAAGCTAGCTAGGCTAGCCAGTTTGCTACTTAGCAAGGCTAATTTCCGTACCAGCTAACTACTGAAACAACTGTTTACTGACATTACAGCAGCATAGTAAATACACTTTACATTAACTAGAAAGGGTAGGGGAAACACTGATGTTGGTGATTTGCCAACTTATAAAATTATGTGAATCATTTGGCTAAACACTAGCCTGAATTGCCAAGCTAGCCAAATAGGTGGCTATGGGGCAAAGTGAGTCAATCGCTGTGGGGTAAATTGAGCCAGTGGTTGAACTTGACCTTCCTTAAGGCACTGAAGTTAAGTCTCTGAAGTATGAAATGGCATTTTAATGTAGTATTACACAACTGGTTTGGTTTATCACATGTTAAACATTGTAGATTTGTTATAACATTTAACATAACATTAGCATTTATTGGGATTTTCTTTTTTTCTTTCATCCTTTTTTGTTTGCTCCTCAAAACTACACTGGTTGTCCTTTTAATTTGGATGAGTACCCTAATTTAAAATTGTTTCACCAGTGGCAAACATTAAAATATTCTAAATATTAAACTTTATTTGGTTGGTTTCATGTTGTAACATCTAAGCCTCAAAATGTCCGCCTGGACTTTTTTGCTTATTTTAACTATAAAAGGGCCTGAAAATGTTCTGTGAGGAAGTGATTTTGCCTGTTTTTCCAGAACACTTTGAACTTTCAATATCTGACAGTTATTTACAATTTACTGCATGTAATAACAGTGTAATAACAGTTTTAAATGAAGAAAAAACAAAAAACGGAATTTGGTTTTAAAGATTTTGTGAGGAAAAAACACTGCAATTGTACATGAACAATAGATTTTGCATAATAAATTTGATGTTATAACAGTATAAAACACATTTACAATAAAGTTTTTTGAGTATTTGTCTCTCAATGTGCAAAAACAGAACAAAATGAAAACTTATATACAGGCATTTTTTTTAGAACAGTATAAAACATATTCACAATTTTTGAGTCTGTCTCTCAATGTGCAAAAACAGACCAAAATGAAAACTATATATAGGTGTTCTTTTTAGAACAGTAACATATTTACAATGAAATTTATTGAGTCTTTGTCTCTCAATGTGCAAAAACAGACCAAAATGAAAACTATAGATAGGTGTTCTTTTTAGAACAGTATAAAGCATATTCACAATGAAATTTTTTGAGTCTTTGTCTCTCAATGTGCAAAAACAGAATAAAATGAAAACTATATATAGGTGTTCTTTTTAGAACAGTATAAAACATATTTACAATGAAATTTTTTGAGTCTTTGTCTCTCAATGTGCAAAAACAGACCAAAATGAAAACTATATATAGGTGTTCTTTGTTTCAGTCCAGAGGAACTTCCTCCCTTTTTTCAGGTTTGCTGCTGCATTCTTGTTGGTGTTTTGACACAGGAGTTTGAAAATGGCAGCATCCAAACAGTGTGCAAAAATTTCACCTGGGGGTGGGTTTCCCATATTGAGGGGGGGCTGGACCCCAGGGGCACGTTTGGGGACAATGGCTCTATAGCCCTGAGTGTGTCTTCTGCCTCTCCCTCTCCCAGGTCTCTCACTTGAGGATGGCTGCTCCTCACTACAAGACAAACTGAAAACAGTGGAGAAAAATATTCAGCTTGTTCGTTCAATCAATCAATCAATCAATCAATTTTATTTATAAAGCCCAATATCACAAATCACAATTTGCCTCACAGGGCTTTACAGCATAAGACATCCCTCTGTCCTTATGACCCTCGCAGCGGATAAGGAAAAACTCCCCAAAAAAACCCTTTAACGGGGAAAAAAACGGTAGAAACCTCAGGAAGAGCAACTGAGGAGGGATCCCTCTTCCAGGACGGACAGATGTGCAACAGATGTCGTACAGAACAGATCAGCATAATAAATTAACAGTAATCCGTATGACACAATGCGACAGAGAGAGAGAGAGAGAGAGAGAGAGAGAGAGAGAGAGAGAGAGAGATGCAGGTAATGACAGTAGCTTACAACAACATTATTGAAAGTAATAATATTATAG